ACATCGACCTTTTCCGCTTTCTCCGAGGAAATTCAATCGGGGAAGATCCAGGAAGGAATCCAGGAAGGAAGGTGTGAATGGGGTTCGTACGACCCGGCACCAGTTGCCCCCGTTGATTCCCATCGAGTCGCTCCCGCGATTGTCCATTGTCCGAGGGTCGCTTTTTTTTCTGTGTCACTTCTCGCTCCGGAGTCGCCGTCGGGGCCGCAGTGTTCCGCTGGGCGATCCGCGGGTGATCCGCTGGGTGAGCCTTCTTGGGAGTTTTCGGGCGGATTCGGAGAAATGCTGGGCTGATTTCGTGGTGGAATTTCCGGTCGAGTTGCCGCGGGTCGTGTCGGTTCCGTGTCGAAGTTTTCCCCGTTAGTGTCGTTGCCGTCGGACGGCTTCCGAATGGAATTCCAGATGTCTAACTGTAAATGTGGAATGCCCTGGTGGGGTGAGGGTGGGGTGCCGGGAAAAGACGACGATCGTGAGATGGCCAAGCGTAAAGTCCTCGATTTCGTACCGACTCGGCGCTGTGTACTCGGTTGAGAAAACAAATTGTATAAATTAGAATCAAGGAAGCTTACCGTAACCAGACGATTTCGTTTTATTTATTTTAAAAATTGTTAATGTTTCGGCGCCACAAACTGTGAGGCGACCTTAGAATTTCGGAGACTTTTTTCAGGGAAAAGAGGCCTTAAAAAATCGACCGCTCTGGGTTACGCTTCCATGAATTTTTTTCCGCGTCTCCTGGCCCGTGTGTACCCATGCGGATCCCAGTCTCGAGGCGCGTAGTGGTCGGGTGCACGACCCTGAGGGTTCTGGGAGACCTAGTTGCACGGGGGAATCGGCAGGTGAAGAACGAGTGGCTTGTGGTCTCGAAATGGACTCCACTTAAGGACGCGGCGGGGCATCGAGGCCGGGCAAACTGGGCATTGACATTGAACGGATGTTGAAAGCCGAGATAAGGCAAAAAGGGAAATCGCAAGCGAGTGGAGTGGGTGAGGGGAAAGAGCGTGCATGGACAGGCTGAGCCAGATGAACCTTTGTTCCTGCAGGCCTTCCTCCCCCCCCCCCCCCCCCCTTCCAGGCCTTCCCCACCCCGATAGGCTTTCCCCCCCACCCCTCCAGGGCTTCCACTCGCGCTCTCGTTTCACCAGCTCATTCTCTCCGTCTCGTCAGGGGACTCGTCGTCGCGTCCGTGCGGTACCCGAAGTGTTTGTGCGGTCGAAAATGATGATGGTGAAACGGCACACCACGTGCTACTGGCCGTCGGACGCGGCCCAGTACCCTCTGTACGGGATCGACGAGGAAGAGGGCCCTCCATCGTCCGGCCTCGTCACGTTGATCCGCTGTGAGTCCGTTTGCAGTCCGTTCCCCGAGAGGGAAAGGGGAGGATGGTGAAAGGTGCGAAGTGCGCTCTGTCCCCCGGCGTCGGCACGATGCACGAGGAGTCGCGCCGAATGACGGGACGGCAGGGATGCCGGATCCCATTTTGGCCGGGGGGGACCCGGGCTTCGCGGTCGTNACAAAAAAAGTCGGAACGCACCACCTAAGTGGTGACCCGATCATAAAGGCCTCGTCCACACCAGACAGTTTTCTATGCAATTTTTCTTTGCAAGTCGACCTGCAAAGAAAACTTCCATGGTGAGGATGTCTTTGAAAGTTTCCTTTGCAAAAATTTTCCTTTACGTGTCCTACTTGCAAGAGACTTAAAAAAAATACAGGGTGTCTCAAAAAAATGTATACACACTTTAATAATAAAAAAATGTAGACACACTTTAATAATAAAAAATGTAGACACACTTTAATAAAAAAAAATGTATACACGCTTTAATAATAATAAATATATATGTTAAGTAATTCAGAGAGGTACAATGTTCAGTGTGTGGAGAAGCAAGGGTTTGAATTGGATGGTTCACTACCACAGATCCTGAATCTTGAATCTAGATGTTTAAATTGTTCACCATTAGCATCCAGGCACTGTTGACAGCAGTGAGCAACAGTACAACAAACTTGTGGACAAGTTTCTGCTGGGATAGCAGCACAGGACTCCTCAATTTTATGTGATCGTGTGAATGCTTGCATTGCAACAGCAGCATTTTCCCCACCTGTTGATGTGTGAGGTCTATCAGAACATTGTGCATTACCGTACTAGCAATGTTCTGGGAGACCAGGTGCTTTTGCTGAGAGCCCGAATGCATTCCTTTATTCGAATGGATTCCGATATAGTGTTATACGTGCCGTGGAAAGCCAGATAGGAACCTCTCGTTGCAGGAGATCGAAAAATATGGCTAAACATTGCAAGATGTCTGATCTTGAAATGCAAAATTTGATTGCGCATGCATGTTGCACAGGTGCGCAAGGCTGCGTTGAGAATTCGAACTGCCTCATGACTATCCCCTGACACCAGCATGAACTCGGCCATGGTGAAGTATAGCGTCTTCTTTTACCAGTTAACCCAAAGAAAAGCAAATAAATAAGGAACTACAATTCAGAGATGCATGCAATTTCTTGATATGAGTACCAGGACATTGTGAAATGCGAAATTACAATCGCAGTCATAGCACGTCACATACAGTGAAAACTCGTCAACTCGAATCCTGATAAGTCGAAATTCCGCTTATCTCGAAGTTCAATGCTTCGTCCCGCGGAACCTCGTAGGACACCATGTTAAAAGCTCCGTTAAACTCGAATTCGCTTATCTCGAATTTCCGGATATCTCGAATGAAATTTCCACTCCCCATAACGATTTTCTCACGGTTAACTCGAAATCAGCGCGAGAAGGCGGAAAAATTCTTCTCTTGGGACTTTTCGATTTTTGAATAGAATGAATGCCCGGTCCCTGAAAGTTCGAGTTAACGAGTTTTCACTGTATGTTAGAAGTGGCCACCGTCATGTTCAATACACAAGTGTGCACGGCAAAGCATATGGCTGGACACAGACTAACACCTCCGGCTGAATGCTGGCAATGACGTGTTGCAACTCTTACAGAATGTGATGATTATTCGTATATGCCCGGTTGTTACCCTTTACCGTCCGAATGACGGATCTATATGCATCGTTCACCGGATAAATAAATCATACAGATAAATATAATTTTACGGATGAATAGTAAAGATCGTACGGATAAATAGACACGAAGAGACGAAACTTTAAGCAAGCAGGTTTCCTTGCAATTAAATCCCCGATTTCAAAGCCGACCGGGGGAAAAAAAAATATATATATATATATTTGAATCCGTACGCTAAAGGTTAATGTAGCCCCACAAGAAGTAATCCAGTGATGAAAAGTCAGGAGAGCGTGGAGGCCATAATCCTTTATAAACCATGCGATTGCAGAAAATGAATTCAACATTCAGCCACAGCAGTCTGTGTCCAGCAACATGCTTCGCCGTGCACCCTTGTGCATTGAACATGGCGGTAGCCACTTCCAACGTACAGTATGGATCAAAAGTATTGTGACATGAGCGAACTAGGTTCATGGTTTGCTGTCCCTAAACTATTACATGTTTCCCGCCATCATTTAAACAGCTTAAGGACACTCCAGCAATACAGTTAGTGAGATGTAGCCTATGTAACTCGAGCAAATGCACTGCAAGGTGTTCGTACAATGATGACTTTGTTTCGGATCAACATCAAACAACATGAAGGTCCATGAGCTGTCTTTAGAAGTCCAGGCGAAAGCCATTGGCATGATTGAGGTCAGCAAATCATAGAGGGAGGTTGCTGGCATTCTTGGAGTAAGTGTCAGTAAAGTGTCGCAGCAAGTGTCAGTCGCTGGTGGAAATACCAGAAGTCCAGAGAGAGCCTCTAATCAAGGCCTCGTCCAAGACATCCAAAAGTACTTTCAACCTTAGCAAAAATTATCATATGCAAGAGTCTCGGGAAAAGAGGCATGTCCAGCAGGAAAATGACCTCCAGATTAAAGAAATTTGGGCAAAAAAGGGTTTTTCGTAATAGTCCAATCAGTGGCGGATACAGACATTTTTCATAGGTTCCCTACTTTCTACGTACCTACCCCCCCCCCCCGCCCTCCCCCCCTCCCCCCCCCCCCCCCCCCCCCCCCCCCCCCCCCCCCCCCCCCCCCCCCCCCCCCCCCCCCCCCCCCTCCCCCCTTTCCCTACTCTCACGACCCCTTCCATCTCGCAGTTGAGCACTGGCGTGTTTTCTTCGTGAAGAGTCGTACAACGACCTCGAAACTTTAATAGACTTCATGACACACTTCTCGACGCTGTTTTTTTTTTTGTGCGACAAGTATATTTAAAAGTTCTGTTTTGGAAGCGGTAAATCTGTTCGCCGCATATTCTCCGAGGTAATTGCCGTTCGAACAATGTCCTTTTTTTCGTCCCCACGTTTGCATTAAAGTATCTCCGACCGCGGCACTCTTTTAAGTCGGCCGGAAGATAATTACGGACATGTACAGTTATTGCATGAAAATGAAGCGCACGGCGAGGCTCGGTTACAGCCTGGGTTAAATGCGCGGTAACACGAGGTGATTTTGCATCTCTTTTGACCGTTTCGTGTCGACACAATGGCATTCTTCCCGCGTTGCCGATAATGAGAGCCGATGATTCCGCGACAGGATCCTGCCGACAAGCTGTTGCACGGAGTAAAATGCACGTCGAACTGCCCACTTTAAGCGGAAACGTGGGAAGGGAAGAATAAGAGATTCAAATTATGTCAATATTTTTTCCCCCCTGGGCGTTTCGCAGCGGCTCAGCGTTGATAAAGGACTTCCGGGAAAGGAACTTCGTCTTATCCTTTTTTCTCCATAATGGAAGATTGTTCTCCGTTTGGTCCCCTTTGTCTGCCCGTGTTCGTTTCACAATGGACCGGACTCCATTTCCTCGTCGAGTCGAATCAATCCAGATGTGAGATAGTCTCTTCCTTCGGAGGGATGAAGTGGACTCTGAGGGATGAAATGGACTCTGAGGGATGAAATCGGTCTCCAGGGTCCCGTTCCCCCAATTCCCTGCCCGTTGCCGGACTATAACGACCTTTCATCGCCGAGCCGCACTCTGGATTAATTTACTCCGGCAGGGATTGCCGAGAAGATACTGTTGCAGGATGGGATGGAATTTCTGTCTGCTTCGTGTTTCTTCGGGAACCGACAGGAAAGCAGGGGGAGGAGCGAGGAGAATCAATTCCCTTCCCTTCGACAGGGGGACGTGGGAGAACATTTTCATTTCCTGCTTCCCTCTGCGGAAGTCCAGCGCTTTATATTTTTTGAAAGAGATGCATTGTCACGTGCGAGGGCATTCAGCCAGCCCTATTTGTCAAACTCCGAATTGCTCCTTCGCCATTATAACGGGAGAAGCCCTCCCCATTTCTCGCCCGAAACCGCAGGCGAAGCGATGAGATGAGATTCAAGAAGGGAGAGGAGATGATCTCCTGTCATCCTCTCCCTCGTGGGTTCGTTCGGATTTTCTTCTTCATTTTCGCTCCTGCCAAGACTTTTTTTTTTCCCCTTCTCCCTATCCGTCGCTTTTAGCATGCTCGACTTCCTTGTTCTTTTGCATGCACGCGTTGTTCGTCCGCCCGCGTTATGGAGTCCCCTGGGGACTTGATTAGATGATGTAGATTATGCATGGGAGAGGTGACAAAAATATCAAACTTTCCGTTTCCTCTTTCCTGTATTCCGCCACACAGGAAACCGAGCGAAGTCGATCATTAGACCATGGAGAAGAGAAAGAGCCCATGAAGGGTCCATATGGAAGGAGAGAATGAAACTCGCAGCTGGCAACCAGAGAGGGTGTGGCCCAGATCATCAGTCAGTCATATCCCCAGCATCATTTAATGATAGCCCTGGCTACCAAATAGGCCTTTGCCCTCGCCCATTTGACCAGGCTCTATTCCCCTACACGATCCAATTGCTCCTTGCCCTATACGATCCGATTGCTCCGCTGCGATTGATCGAGTGGAGCATCCGGTTTCATTAGTCCAGGGTGACATGATTCTAGGGTCTTTAGTAAGGTTACTCTTCGGCGTGGACGCACAGGCACATGCACGGCGATGAAAAAGGGCCTTCCCGTCACGAAGGCCAAGTCAACGGACGTTTGATTCCTTTCTCAGGCGCAGGCGATTGAAACTAATCGTTGCTGACTGCAGTGAATCGATGCTTACACGGTGTCTGGCTGTCTTGAAACACAGGGATGGAGTGCGCATTCGCTTCGGTGGATGTCGAACTCGATTTGGCAAGTGCCACCGGCTCGGTATCAGGTGCATCGACGAGGAGGCTCATTCACGCCATTGTGCGAGCTGATGCATCGATGCCAGTGAATAATGGGCATATGGTGAGCCATGGGCCTGGCGGCTCGTCTGAAAAGCCTCTGCTTTTGACTGGGGTTCATAATGGTGGAGTAGATGTGCGTCCAGCTGAGCTTGGACTTGTTTTTGCTCCCAGCTGGAGCCGATGAAAAATGGACATTAATCAGGAGTGGAACGAGGTACCCTATTGAATTTTTAGGGGCGATTCATTTGTCAGAAAACAGATTGGATTCATTCCGAATGCTCACATATCACCCGCTCATCCGTACTCGAGATTCTTTATCTTCGTGCTGTCGTTCTCATCTGAAGCAAGGCCAAACGTTTAGAGATGGAAAGGAGGTCTGACCCTTTGCAAAAGGAGTCCACACGACGGGGAAGAGATGGTACTTGACAGGTACATTCATATGCAAATTACGCCAGACCAAAGAGCCCCATTGCATTCCACTTCACCCGGCAACCGAGCACCTAGAGACAATGGATTGCAGGCAGGAAAGCCCTCGACAAGAGAACTATTAACTCATTTACTTGCATAGACGTTTACCCAGCTCGGAATCCCGTGTTTGCCCTAGCGAATGGAAGGGGAACATCAACACGCTGAAGGATTCTTTCCCTCCTTGTTTTGGTGGCTGGCTCCGTGTTTACGAACATCCACATCCCTCTCACCACGGCGTGATACAAGATCAATGTGAATGCTTGGCATCTCGGGGAGCCTTTTAATTCATTATCATCTCCGAGTCAACAGAGCTGCTCTTTCCACACATCCAAGGTCGCAGAAGGCTGTCGAGTGGCTAATAAATAAACAAGCAATCAGCGGGTTCTTTTCTTCGTTTTCCTCCCCCTGTCTTTTGTTTCTCCCTTTTTTCCCCCCCTTTTCGCATTCTCTCTAATGGCGCTCCCTCTCCCTTTATAACGAACCGCAAGTCTAAGAATTTCTCCCCCATTTTCAGCCTTGAACTCGGCCCGTTGTTGAGAGCTCTTGGCGAGGACAGTAGGGCATGTTTTTTTTTTCCAGTTCCGCCTTTGGATGCTATCAGCACCATAAAACGCAAGGATTCATTACGCGCGGGGGTTGAAATCCCTTAAGAGTAATACAGGAAGTTCCCTTTTGTCTCGGGGAATCCTCTTACGCAACCCCTTATGGAGAAGGGATTTGCCTCGACCTATCCACATACAATCGATCGTAAATTTCTTTGTCCACCCTTCCCTACCGCTAAAAATGCACCACACGCGGAACGCTTATCTTTCGACAGGGGAACGGAAGGCGAACGGAGAAGAAACCAAGACGGAGCAGAAAGAGGAAGAGGATGCTGGGGAAGAGAAGAAAATTGAGCTGAGGGATAGTAGAGAGAAGGAGGAGGAAGACGAAGAGAAGGACAATCGAAGGGAGAGCGGCGTCTACGAAGACATCGAGGGAAGCAATTGCAGCAACGGAGGGGAGGTGAAGGGGAACAACTGCAGCAGCAACGGGGGGGAGGTGAAGGGGAGCAAGAGACGAACTTTGTCCTCGGATGCAGACGGGGATTCTTGGGGTTCGCCTGGGACGGAATCCTCGTCCGATGGCGAACCTGAAGTCAGGCACCCTCATCCCGGGTATGTACTTCATTCACGATCTTCGTGTGCGACGCTATTGTCGGTATTTGCAGGGATACTTCCTCTGCGAAAAATAAGGAGTTAAATTTAGAAGTTCTGATAACGCTCGTTAGTGAGGATTGGGTACACCACACCATCAAGCAGACCATCTCCTGAGATCTTCGTCTTTTCACCCCTTTAAATTTGCTTGTCTTCCAATGCTTCGCCTCCATATACGCGCCAATGCACTCAAAGGGGACAAGCGACTGGACTGGGTTCTGGCCAGCTTTTTTTTTATTTTTTTTTGTCTCCCATTCTTCCTGTTGGTTGAAAAGAGATGATCCATTGGGGCTCGTCGAATCTAGTGACGTCATTAGGTCGAAGGGATGCAGTATTTATAAACAGGAACGGGTTTCCTCCGCCGCTCTGTAGTCAAGTGTCTGCCTTCTCTCTATCTGCTTCCACTCTCCTTCCTTGGATTCTATACGACCAGGTCAGTGTCGGTCCATCCAACTCCATTTGTCTCCCATGGGAAGGAGGAAACGGAAGAAAGTGGGTTTGGGTCAAAAGTAGCCAGGCTGTGATGGATGGGACAAGCTAGGGGCATTGATTGGCACCATGCCAGACACATACCGTATATCCCTATCTCATCTCCTAGATATTTCTAAGCCAGGCTTTCCTCCTTCCCCCCCCCCCCCCTCCCCCTTTCATGCATTACATTTGATTCGAATTGACTTTAGAGAGCAGGAGGCTGAATACCATCAGCGTTGTTCAGTTGCTTCAAGCGAAGTACTCGAATGCATTTTCAGTTGCATGACCACAAGTCGAGCAAAAGCTCTGTTCTGTTGTTCTGTTAGCCTCTTGTGAGTGCTCCGTCATAGAGGGAACAGGCGTAGTCATGGTCGATATGAAAAGTAAGGAGGGGAGGGGAGGGGAATAGAATAGGAGCTTGGAGACGGAGTGCTTGAGGATGACTGGTGGTTGAGACGAAGGGCCATCCATTCCACTCCGCGCTGCTCATTGAGAGTCTACAGGTCTCAGATTTATTTTGCATTATTCAAAAGCCGAATAGATGTAAAGTTGACGCAGTAGAGCTCAATAAATGAATGTGAAATTTTAGCATTAACATTTAAGCGATTGCTCGCTGCACATGGGCCTAATTTGTAATTTACTGACTGCTTTTATGATTAAATGAGTCGCTTGATGTGAAGCTGCTATTCATCTTTCAGAACTTTCCAAATCTGAAAAACGTTAGAACGTAACTTTTAAAAAGTAAATTGTCTTTCTTTCCATATGCATTGAAGCAAGAGACCAAGAGAAAGCAGTTGAGAAAACTTCATTGAGATTTCCTAGGAAAAGCAGTATCAAAGGAAATCCTGAACACTTCTACTGGTGTCACATTGAACACTTGTATTGACGTCATACGACTATGGGGGGGGGCTGGGGGGCTTTCTTTCCTACGGCTGCCAGGGACAGCAACGCATTGGAGAAAGAAGATTATGTTGCACATCAATCTTCGCTTCAAAATCCCTCTTATCCCCTCTCGAAATGGCCATCATTCTTGTTGCTATCGTTGTAGAAAGAGTCTGATACCCTGAGATCGCCTGCCCAGCTTTATCATTTAAAAATGTAACGAAAAAAAAGGACAGTGGGAAAAAAACGTAAATGTTCTGTTTTCCTTGCAGGGGAGATTCGTTTCGGGCGCGTATCTTGAGATCCCGGACGAGTAAGACGAGGTGGAAGGAGAAGAAAAGGGCTGGAACCGCTCTGAGCCACCTGGGGACTACCAACAATTGCCACCAACCAGGACTTCCTAGCGGCCCGGAGCCCATCTACCAAAACGACACCGGTCGGAGTTTCACTCGGTGGTTCTCTTGGAGGAAGGACTCCCAGGTGGAGAAGTGGAAGGCGAAGAAGATGAGGGAGAACGGCACGGACAGTTTCCTCAATGTCACCTTCCACAGGCGACATCAGGCACCTAGCCTGCCTCCTCAGCCTGGAGGATTGTCGCCGGAGCAGGTGAAACGGCGTCACATCGTCGCCTCCATCGTCCATAGCGAAAACTCCTACGTTGCTTCAGTCCAGCGACTCGTCAAGGTTAGGAGGAAATCTCTACCCCTTGCTGCCAAGAAGCAACTTAATTTCTCTCTCGTCAAATGGGTTATGCGATTCAAGCGTCGTCTTAGGTGGTTCATATCAAAACGGCTGCTATCGTATTTTTTCTTTAAGACTATGTAGTTCTTAGCAAGGATTTTTGTTTAAGGTACCTTCACGCGATTCATGATACGAAGCCAATTGAGCATGAAATTAATTTTTTTTGTGTGGCCATTAAGAATAGCCCTTGGTAAGTAATCACTTCATCAATTTTTAACATTATTATACCATATTGGGATCTATACAGACGGGAGGGATTGGCCAAGACTGGAAACGTCTTGTTCGTCGCCTTTCCAACTTGAATCTAGTTTTATCCTCACATTACTGTGCTGTAGGACTTCAAGAAACCGTTGGAGGAGAGCAATCCGGGAATCATCTCATCGTCGAAGATCCAGACCCTTTTTTACCGCATCCCCGAGATCCTCCAGATCCACACCCTGTTCCGGATCGCCTTGTCCGAATGCATCCGGAACTGGGACTCGGAAGAGTCGATCGGGGACGTGTTCGTCGCCTCCTTCTCTAAGGCAATCGTCCTGGACATCTATTCGGACTTCATCAACAACTTCTCGCAGGCGATGGATCTGGCCAGACAGGAAGCAAGTCGGAAATCTGCCTTCGCCGATTTCCTCAAGGTATTGAGAAACTGCTCTGTCCTTTTCATTCATAGTGTGTAACATGATAGTTCACTTACTCCGTCAATTATTGATTACGAATTTGACTGTGGAGTTTACGATTTCTCAAGCCTAGTACACACGTTTGTTTGTTTCTCATGCACGATGCTAAATGATTCGCAACAATATATGATGCAGGTGAAGCAGATCACGAGCCCAGATCGCCTGTCCTTCTTTGGCCTAATGGTGAAACCAGTGCAGAGGTTCCCTCAGTTCATCCTCCAGCTTCAGGTCCGTCTCCTCATCGTGTCTCTGTCTCCTCTTCGAGACCGACAGTGGCTTCATCTCCGCTCTTTGTCCTGCAGGACCTACTGAAGCACACCCCGCACGGTCACCACGACCGACTGTCCCTCCAACTGGCCCTCACCCAGCTGGAGAGCCTGGCCGAGCTGCTGAACGAGCGGAAGAGGGAGGCAGAGCAGTTCCTCGCCTTCAGGGAGACTCTGAGGCACCTGAACAGCAAGTTCTCGCTGCGGTCCATCGCGGACGGCAACCGGTTCCTCCTACGGGAGGACAACATGACTCAGCTCGTGAGTCCACTTCTGCCTCGTTCTCCTTGCTCTTAATGCAACCAGCATGTGTCGCAGATATCATCAGTTCGTTAGTGACTGCTTTTTCCATTGCTCCTTCCGGTACGTAAAAAGTTGCATGCTATAAGGTTGTATTTTTTTTTTTCCCAGAGTATCTTCTGATATGAATACTAAAATCTTTGTGAGCTCAGAAGAGCAGTTTTTTTATATGTTTAAATCTAATCACTAGGTTTGACAAGGGCGAATTAGCTTTTTCTCGATTCTCGTTATAAACTCAAGATGAGGAGGCAGCACAGTGAAGATAGGGCCTGCTGATAGAGAATTATTAGGACTCCCTCGGGACTACTTCATTCTCCTGAACTAATTAAATATCCACTAAGTACTCTCAGACCGAAAAAAGTGAGTAAATTTTCAGATGGAAATTAGTTTTGTTCATTTTCCGTATCCTTAGACAATGCACGAGAACTTTTTTTGTGAAAAAATAGCCGATTTCATCATACACCGTTAGCAGAACGGAAAGGTGGACTAGAGATTTTTTTTTCCCCATTGCAGGAATTCAACAACGTGGGACTGGTGACGAAGACGAAGCCTCGCCGTCTGTATCTGCTGAATGATCTCTTGGTCTGTGTATCTGTCAGCCCGAAGGAGGATTTCAACAGTTCCGAGCGCCTCACCCTCAAATGGGCTTTCCCCGTTTCTGACCTAGAGGTAAATATTAGCATTCCTTTCACAGGTGCCTGTAAATTCTCCTTGATAATGCTCGATGAGTGTAAAACCACTTCTGGAATACCTTTTGCTACTATTTTCATATTGTTAAGCTGTGATTCTTTTGTCCCGAGGTTGACATTTATTTCTATTATGGCACTTCTCATTGATGAAGAGAGATGAAGTTATGAAAGGGAAATCATCTCATAATGACAGTGCAAAAGTTATGATTAGTTCGCTGGGAAGTTCTTCTGAAGGCGGTTTTTGTTTGAGCTATAAGGGCCCCATGTTTTCCTCACTTCCGTATTAGTTTTTAGTTTTTTTTTTCACAACGCTCTCTTGATCATTTGCATTCTGTTTTGTGGCATCGGCTCGCACAGTGGCTTCTAACCGAATGACGTGATGTGCAGGTGCAGGACACGAGCACGAGCCCGACGCTGAGCCGAGTCCTCACGGCCGGCCTAAACCGGAGCGGGAGCCTCAAGTCGGAGAAGAGCTCCACGTCCTCGGGCGGGGTGGAGTCCCTGTGCCAGGAGATGAGCGAGCTCATGCACGACTTCGAGATCGTGAGACGGGTTGCCACGCTCATCCCGCAGCTCAAGGGCAAATACCAGGTCTCTTTACGGGAAATGTTCTTTGCCTTGGTGCAGTACAGTAGACAGAATCTGCAAAAACTTTTTCTTTGCTAAGTCTTTAGTTTTCAAGAGTTTAGGCTAAGATGTGGCTTTTTAGCTAAAACGATTACTATTCTCTGCTTCTCCAATAGTCATCTGGCTTGGATTGCAGTGCATTGCTGTTTAGAAATTGTTTTACACTTGCAGAAATGAACTGTTTTCGTATTTTCTCACGGGACGCTTATGCTTTCGTGTACCAGGGTTTGAGTGTAGAGACGACACAGGCCATCTGCGCCTCGATCCAGAAGTCGATTCAAGAGAAGGACGCCGAGATCGCGTGGGTCGACAGCTGCTGCCTTCAGTTTGTGGTGAAGAGCAAGGGGAAGGAGGAGCAATTCACGTTCCAGACGGACAACCCGGGTATCAAGAGGGACTGGGTCATCGGTACGCAATCACTCGGATCTGGATCCTTTAGACTGTTAGGCCCGGCTTTAAAATGACATCGTGTTTCTGCAGAGATGCGTTTGGCCCAGCTGGCCCTGGACGGGAACAACTCCCCGGCCTGGGACATCCCCGAGCAAGAGCAGCGACCCAGTGCCCGACTTCCTCTCTTTGTCCGGTCGCTTTCTACTTTCGCCTCCAGACATCAAACTGAGGTATGCTCCGTTGGATTTTTCTACTATTCAAGGCATAAAATTTGCATCCTTGTAATGAATGATGTTCAGAAGCGGCTCGCGGATCATGCCGTAATTAGGCCAGATGACGACGATATGTATATAATAGATATGCATCACCCATCACTCCACCTTCCTCCTAAATCTAAGACAGGATGCGAGATATGGATTCCAACTAGAGCAAGAAAAAGAAAAAGCTTAAATCTCAATCAGTATGCAGGTTCGTCTTAAAACAGGTGGTAGTTTTATAGTGGAGGACTGTGTAACATCTGTGTTCATCAACATATTCTAGTTCATGGGACTGGTATCTAAATGGTTTTCTGGCACCTGGCGTTTTCTGCCTTCATTTTTGTTGAATCTCCGTTAACCACGATCTAAAACATCAACCTTGACGAGACGCCGCCGATGATATCGCTGTTCAGTAGTTTTGCATACACGTCATGCATCTGCATGTGCAGGTCCGCTGCGGCTGCTACTACACCGTGCCGCAGATCAAGCCCGTCGGAAGCATCGGGCATGCGAGCTATCTCTGGGTGTCCTCGAGCGACGGCGTCTCCTCCCACTTGACCATCTACCTCCATCACAACCTGGGGTTGAGGCAGGTGCTGGTGGAGGATCTCGAAGAGGTCCAGGTGTCTTGCATGGAGCACGTGCCGGGATTCACTTGCGAGCAGGGGCTCAAGGGTCATCTCGTCTGGCTCGGCACCCACAGTCAAAAGTCCGTTCCCGTTTGCTCTCCACTTTTCTTTTCTCGCGGGACTCGGGTTGCTCTCCGATGCACGATGCAGTGTCTTGATAGTGTGCAGGAACTCGAGATGTTCCCCGTAATTAACGTAAAAGATGCATGAAGAGTATTGAATTCCTTCGCTTTCTGAAGGATCTCTACTGCCTGTCCTTTTGCATTGCTATAATGAAATTTCAGCTGCTACCTTTGTTATATTGCAATGCGGCAAGTCTAGTAGTATCTACCTTTCTGTTTTGTTCAGGATTTTGGTTTACTCGGCATTGGAGCCGGAGAGGCTGGAGCAGCTGGAACTGATCTCTTTGGCCGCTCCGGTGAGGCAGATCAAGTACCACTGCGACGTCGTGCTGGTCGCCCTGGCCATCAGCAGCATTGTGGTCTTCAAGCGGGACTGGGACGGAGAGTGGATGCTGAAAGAGGCACTGAACGTTGCCCTGGACGAGAGCCTTTCCTCGCCCGTCTCCTGCCTCTTGCCTATCTCCACTTGCATCTATGCCGCGTGTGATCGCAAGGTCTCCGTTGTCGACTGCCTCACACTGCAAGTGCTTGTAAGTGTCGGATTCGATCCTGAAATTTCATTCCGTTGTCGTGTATGTCATGGCGTAGACAAATTCCGACCTGTAGACCCATAGACAAGTAGCGATTCTCCTATCTGTCAATATTCGTTCATCAAGTGACAAAGAGAACCGCGTATTCTCAACAGGAACTTTAGCCAGCATTCCCGTAGGTTCTGCACCACAAACATCTCATTCTAGTATGAATGATGGTATTAGGCTGGTGCATCAAACGTGAAATTGAGGCGTTATCTTCCATGAAATCGTGCAGGACTCGTCCTTTGGCCCATCTGCGAAAGAAAAAGATGTCTTCCTCGTGTCCTTGAATCGAGGCCTTGTGCCATGCCTGATTGTCATCGTTGTTATTGTAATTATGATGATAATAACTTTTTATCCGCACCGTCATGACTAGACAATTTTTCCATGTGCCACTTTAATCAACTGGGAATATATAATGATGGAAAGACGAGGGTGCAAACAGGGTTTAAAATCTCCCAGGAAAGTAATGATCTTCAGCTTCAATTCAAATAACAGTCGAGAAATATTAAGGATTCATGCAGGTGCCTCGAACCACTGTCGAAGGATATGGACTGCATCGGATTCGGACTCGATTCAGAAGAGGCGAAACAAGATAGGAATTATTCATATCATGTTTTGCCTGATCCTTGGAACTGGAATGATGATACTCGGAATTCTTATTCTTTGACGTCACCACATTGGGGTGAAATGCGAAAATGCAGCTCATTCAAGCATGGTTTCTTCATGTTCCCCTCTTTGTCTCCACATTCACATGAGAAATGGAATGGAGTGTTCGTTTATCTGAATTCTCTCCTGATTCTGAATTTCATCCCGTTGTATAACCGTTTCGTAACGCCTGAGATTCCATTTCGATTCAAAATCCTTAAAGATTGATGGATGATTCTGGTGCGCGCCTTGAATATCTGGATCATGCACGATTCCATGTTCGGAAGTTTTTGAATGAGATTCAATTCGGGATTCGCAAGATGGTCCTGACTGTAATACCAGTTTCACATCGAATTCGAATTGATGAGCTTTCTGCGAAATATCTTGAAGTTACTATCGCTTAATCTTATCTCTAATATCTTAAAGCTATCTTGCAGTCATCACGTAGGTTGAGTTCGATCGATCCAAATTGGCATCCATATATGGGGCATAGGAAGGGATTCATCAAGTGCCAGTCCCTTCCCATCTGCTTCACAGTCATTAGTTCGAGAGAGAGGATTGCTTTAACTTCTATACGTAATTTAGGAAGCCATGAGTTTCTGAGTACCAAAGATGCTAAACCACAGGAAGAAAAAGAAGGATCGGAAATGGGGATGGAAAAAAGTGAATGAGGAATCTTTCATCTCTTGCAGAAGAGCTTCAGCGTCCAGCACGAGCACGCAGGGGAGGTGAACCTGCTGGCCCACTCCGGGATCGGGCTGTGGATCTCGATGAAGGAGTCCTCCACCATCTGCCTCTACCACACGGAGACATTCAAGCATCTGCAGGACATCAACGTGGCCTCCAACGTGAATCGCATCCTTGGCGCGGATCGTAACGAGCTCATCACGGTCACGGCCCTGGTCGCGTGTCGGGGGCTCCTCTGGGTGGGCACCAACGTTGGGATTGCCCTCACCATTCCGCTCCCTCGTCTCGAGGGAGTGCCGATCATCTCCGGGAGGGCTAACATTTCTTATCACGCTCATTTTGGGCCCATCACCTTCCTCCTCCCCCTGCAGAGCTATATCACCCACAATCAGACCCTTTACGTCGATCCGGAACACGTGATTCACGAGGAGGAGGAGCGCCTGAACAAGAAAGACCCGCAACTAACAAAAAAAGGGTTAAGAGGATCCCGCGGTCAGTTTCCGAGTCCCGACATCTCGGCGGCTCGACGACGAACTGGACTCGCCCGGTCCTCCAAGACCTTGCCCAAAGGTCTAGGACTGATGACTGTGAACAGTTCTGCACCCCAAGACGACTGTGATGTCTACGGCTTGTATGGGGAATTGATGAACATTAGGAACTACGAGGAGGAGCAGGGACTGGGAGATCCGATCTATGAATCCCTTCGTCGGAGCGACCCCGACCTTGCAGGTCTACCCGTCAAGGTCACGACCCTGGATCGACGCCTCCAGATGAAGACGTGTCGGCCACGTTCCCTGGATCTGTCCAACTGGTCCATGGACTCGAAGAACTCGAACCCGAGTTCGGGGTCCGAAGACGGCAGCGTCTCCCGCGTCCCATCCTTCAACGCGAGCACCCCGTCGTCCAGTTGCAAGTCGCGGTACTTGGCGATGGCCCCGGCGGAGACCAGGCGGACCCTCATCACCGTCATGGGCGGAAGGGGATACGTGAACCTCCGCAAGCCGGGAGACAAGGATGCGAAGACCCTGGCAAGGGGCTCGCAGGCTTCGACCCTCGCCCCCAAGGTCAACGCACGAGACGCTCACATTGTCATGTGGGAGCTCAAGGTTTAATCAAAATTCACTTTTATTTTGGACAAAGCTGGAAGGCTGTGATCGCCCCTTTTTTTTCCCTTAAGACAAAATTGCTTAGCGTGATGCTTTACGGCCTATTTTCCTCGATTTGGCATGACTGGATTCGCCTTTGTAGTGCTTTCGTTATATCGATGGTATTGTGGGAATGATGTGAAGTGCAGCTTATTGTGGCATTTGCATGATGTCTCCATGATTGCCCCAAGAGATAAGTTAAATGTTACCCTGGAAGGGAAGGGTCTGGTGCCAAATAAACAATACTGTCTCGAGCGAATGTGTTCTTTTTCTTCCTTGAGTATTTGCAATCAAAATGAATTTGGGATAAGTATATTTATAAAATGCTAATCATCACAGTATGGAAATAAGTGCAAATCTTAAGAGCAACGATTTAATCTATTCGTGTTTTCCTCGGGCCAATCGGATGAAAAGAGCAAAAGTCCCACCAAAAATCGTTCGAATGGTGCGTCTTTGTGGAATCGTACGTAAGTCTTGGTACACTGCTTGCTACAGAGCATCAAAGAGCCGAGATTCAATTTTCGTATGCAGAAAATGCGAAATCGTGTGATATCCATCCCAGAATCGTTGTTCATGGGAAAAGCGTGTTTGTCCCGGAAAAGAGCACAAGAATGGTGGGAAATGCTTGATGGCTGACACCTCTATGTTTGACAAACTCCGACCCAGACTAATCAATGTCGACGTCATGCCGGGTGCAAACATCGCGCGAGTGAGCGAGGTAATTAGAGCAAACAGACATTAGAGTGTCTTGGGATGCCTTAGCCACAGAAATGGAGATTAGCCATAGTTCTGTCCATGTCATAGGTCATTCCAGTTGGATTTTATGCCTCACGAAGAAACGTTTGGCAACTCGGAACATTACCGCAACACGTTATGCAATAAAATCAAACGCTTGTGCTTCGTGGCACTTGGCCGTGCCACGAAGCGCAAGTGCCCTGAACTGTGGGCACGACCCTCCTCCACGACGACGTGGGGGTCTCACCCCGCTCGTGCAACCGCGACCACCGTTGAAACCTTTCCGTCCGGAGATCCTCGTCCTTCCTCCGTGCAGTCCAAACCTGTCACCGTGTCATTTTCACGCATTCGGTCCAATGAAGATGGCGTCGAGGCGATGACGTGGTAGAGGCAGTGAGAATGTGGTGCCACCTGTTGCCGATGTTGTTTTACGACAGTGCCATTAAAAATCTGGTCGAGAGGAGGGATGTTCGAGGAGAACATAACCAATAACAATTCATTGCTCCTTTCATTTAAATGACCCTTGTATATTTTTTTGTCTTTCTGAGAGAAATTTCTTCGCCTCAAATGCTCCTAACACCAGCGGTTTTCATGTAGTAGGTTTTAGAGTTATAGACTCGAGAGTGAACTTGCTACTGCATTCACTCTAAAATAATTTTTTCAAAATTTCCCGCGGAATTTTGGGCTGGCAATACACGCGAGGAAGAACCTGAAGAAGCTGAATCGCGGGCCGTACAGTGCGGGAAAAAAACTTTACACGAATCCTCCTCCTCGTATTCCTCTGAGAGTATCTGGCGGAACCAAATTGGGCATGCTTCTCACACCTTTCAACTCAGAAGACGCGAAATCGCTCCAGGAAGTTTGAAGCTCGATCTCCCCGCGGTTGGAGAGAACACAAATCTCGCTTTTTGAACCTGTCAATTACATTTTCCTCACAGTTTTAGGGGGGGAAAATATTTCAAAAGAAAGTTATTGCCTTATGGAGCAACATAAGTGCCCTTTTTGTAGTTTGCGATCCACCACTTCGCTTTGAAAAATGAATATAGCTGTCAATCAATTAGGCTTATGATGCGGAGTTCAGTCCCGTCCCAAAGTGTTTCCGAATATCATGCTGGAATTATGTCGGATTCATGATAGATTCCGCCTTCTTATCGGTGCTTGGGTCTTGTGTTCTTTTTTATTTTAACGAATGACACATTATTGTGCTGAGTTCATGGGATGAGGTGAAACTGTAATAGTGTTTACCGCTGGCCGATCGATGAGTTGCGATATTGACATCGGACATCCCTGAATGAACAAGATGGCGTCCAACTTGGATTTGAATCTCGGAGGCATTCTCTTCGGGCCCACACTAGTGAGCAGTGCTCGGCCGTGGAGTACACCAAAGCCATGGTCGCTGTTCGAAGGGTTCGGGCATCGCATCTCCATCTTGTTCCTTTTAGCTTGTGGATGACGTTGACGCGACTCTTCGTCTTGTAGCTCACCTGTTTGAGGTGCTGCTGATAGGTGAGTGTCTGGTCCAGTCTCATCCCCAGGTAGCACGGGTAGGGATCATACTTCATCAGTTCACCACAAACTCTGATCGCAAGCGTCTTGGTGTTCGAAAGGTGAAAGACGTACGATGTAATGTCCTCCCAAAAAAAGTTAGACACACCTCACACGTAATTGAATGCGGTAGACAGTGTCTGTAAACGGAGAAAATATAGTCGCGTGGCCGATAGTGGAAAGGAGAAGGATCCTCCCACGGACCTCCGGGCCGGAAGTTCCTGGTTCATTCCAGACTTAGGTTACGCCTTCAGAGAAATGTTTGAAGGAATTCGATTGTCTTCCACTGAGATCTATGTGAGAAACCATAGGGAACCGCGTCAAACGGACAGGGGACTCATCTCAGTAGTATCCGGGAAGTGACTCCCCATTACGACCACTTTGGCTCCATCTCACGCCGGTTTTCGGAACCTTCTCGGCCACATTGGCCTATCTTCGGCGAATCAGTTGGCCCGGCCAACTGATTTGGCGAACGATTGCCAATCATTCGCCGAAAATGGGCCAACTCCCCCAACAATGGCCCGAAGATGAACCAACGAAAATGTTTGACTGGGCTTGAGTGAGACTAGATATAGTGTTTCGCTTCCCATCGAAGAGGAATCGACTGGGTTGCTTAGGTGAAAAGACTGATCTGGACACCAAAAGCGAATTCGTATCTCTGTGACGTCAGTTGTCTGGTCTTTACTAATAGGTGTAATTTATAGAAGCCCATGATATTCGTTCATGAGATTGACACCCCAGTGAATTATAACTACTAATAGGCAGGTGAAACTTGTTATGTAAAGGAACTCCCCCTCACTTCAGAGTACGCTTAACTTTATATAGACCAATGATGTACGTCTCCGCTGCTTACCGCTATTTTTTTAAAATAAGACCTACAGGAGGCCAAGATTCACTAACGCTTTCTCTCATCAAAATTATTTCCCAATTTTTCTCGCATTTTCCCATTTTCTGGCCCATACTCGTATCTGACAAAAAATGTCATCTTCGTTTATCACCCCTTCCACACCAATTAGGTCGAGATCCGGATGAATTCAAGCACTGAAATAGGCCAAACATGCACAGATGTGATGGATGGGTTGGTGACATCACAAACCCTGCCCAAGTGGGCCCAGGCATAATTTAGGGACCTAGCCGGAATGAGCTCTGTAAGCTTTGGATGCATTACTGGTAGGCCTACAATCAACATTTTGGAGCTTATTTTCTGAAAACGACGAACTTGCTAATATCGACTTCCCTTCTTTTTCTCTCTCCCCGTGGATGAATGGAGATCAGTTGGCTGATCAGAATGCATACTGGGATTATCTTTAGTTATCCGCTAGTATTTTGGATTTTTTTGCACATTAGGAACGTCTCAAACGTCAGCCGAGGTGCAAAAGAGGCATTTGAGAGCAATATGTTATAACCGGTGATGTTTGGGAGTCCATCTGATCATATGGTAACGCATGTTAGCACTCGGATCTGGGACTTTTTTCAGGGAATTCAAGCGATTTATCCAAGAGAGAACTGGGAGACTGAATGCAGAGGAATGAAAATGGCGCTAGGGCTCACTCAAGGAGTTTCTTTAAACGGACTTCTTGTCCAGCTGCTCCTCCTACGCTGCCTAGACGTCAGTAACTCCGTCTTAAAATCCTTGCATATTATAAAAAGGACTTGTACTCATTTTCAATAGAGTTGTATGGATACAGGCTGTCTGGAATTTCGTGAAGGTAACAGCCTATACTATTGTATATGTCGTAGGGTTTTTGGAATTCAGGGGGATTTCGAATATTCCTAGGGAGAATCACAGGATTCCGCTAAACCCGCGGGTTTAACGGTATCCTCTCAAAGTCGTGTCAATGTCACTACACCCTAGGGGGATTCCATATCTCCCTGGCTCGAAAATTGCCCTTCCCACGGCTTGCCCCGCCGAGGGCAATTCTCCTTTCACTGGTTTGACGGAGGCCTTGAGGGCAGAAACAAGCTACGCCAGTGGGGATGCAGGATCTATCTGCAAGTGCAACAAGTCTTGTCGCACCAACAGGTGCAGCTGTAAAAAAAAACTAGGCATAGCATGCTCATCCAAGTGTTGTGGGGGAAAGCCGTATAACCTCCAAAAATAAGACAAGTACAGTATACGAGCCTATTGTTAATTGACTTCCCTTCGAATCTTATTGACGTTGATTTTTTTCTTTCTATGCATGGACTGAAATGAAATTCAATTTCCCCCGGGTGTCTTGATAATTCTCTTTCTCCCTAGGGGTAAACAAAACGATGGAAGCATTGGGAGCTAATCCGAGTGATTTGGAATCCCCCTAGGCCACTAGGGGAAGATGACATAATGGAGGATTTCGCGAGGATTCTGCTAAACCCGCGGGTTTAGCGGAAATCCTACCTCTCCCTAGGGAGATTCGAAATCTCCTTGCATTCCACAAAACGCTACGACATATATATTACTAATTGTATATAACTATTGTGGAATATCCCCCCGAGACACTATGATAATGTCGATGTCTCCCCCCCCCCGGGAAACTTTTGCCCATTGATGCATTACGTCCTTAAATTACCGGAAAAAAACTGGGTTAACATCGGTATTTTGAGAAAATTGCCTTATTAACGAGATTCAAATATGGTCGATGATAAACGCATAAAATGGCAAACGACTCTCGGAAACCAGCCCTGTGTCATCAACGAAACTTTTCGGTTTTCTCGTATAGTTTCACGTTCCAACATTAACAGGAACTAAGGATTGCAGCTGCATTTCCCCTTTTTCTGAGTTGAAAGGTATGTCTAATCAACTCTTCATCTGACGGCACGTATCTCTTTCAATCTTATTTCACACGTCTGACGCTTTTTATTTGAAAGACTTGTCAATTTCGGAAATGGTTTTGCCGAACGTCAAACCGGACACCCCGAAGAGAATGGAGAAACTTAAAACTCGAGCTTGCATCGTCTGTACAGCGACGACCACGCTGTGCGGTCGATCCAAACTGCTACGAG